TGTTGAATCCAGGATGAATGGAGGTAAAAACAGGGTCAAATTCAGCACTAAAAACGAGCATCCTATAAAATCGCCAGTGAGAACAGACTATATATTAACCCTCCAGATTTTCATGTTAAATTGGTCGCAGTTTATCAGCAGTTCGATATATATGTATTAATTTACAGTGCTAATGGCATAAGCATGAATCTGCCAAGAGTGGAGTAAACCTTTGGATTTACTCACCACTATATGGCATCTTTCTACAACAGCTGACAGAAATATTCTTAATGTTAGTGAATAAAATAAAAACCACTCCTTAAAGGTGTAAAAACAGAGGAAGGCTTATGAAGACGAGCATCTTTACAGCGTCTCAAACTCACCGTCCAGCCGTTTGCTTATTGGACTCCTGCTGACTCGACTCATCCAGTATCGCTTTTGATTTTCCAGCTTGGATGTTTGGCTCTTCACGTCGGTCAAGTCCTCTTTCGGCAGCTCTGGAGACTCTGCAGCATCAGCGCTTCGACTCTGAGCATTTGAACAAGGCTCTGCAGGTGTTAAGTCGCTATTGGCCATTTCTGTGACATTCACACTCCCAGACTCCTCTGAAGGCTTGCTCAGTGGATCCGTTTGGGGCATCCCGAGCTCCTGTTGATGAGCATCAATGGACGCGGACACGCCGTCAGTTGTTGGCTGTTCCGGTAGCCGTGGAGGTTTCTCTGTGATTTCAGTGAGTCTTAGAGTGTTGTAGCAGAGCTGTTCAAAGTCTCCTCCCAAGCGATGACAGAGCTCGTTGATAATGCCATCGCAGTCCCCCAGCAGCTCCACGTCAAAGTTTAGATGAGGCAGCGGCTCCCTGTTGATCAGAACCTGAGGCACTTCATGAGGAATGGAGTCTGGTTCAAGACAAGAGGAAAAAAAAAAAGGTTTATAGTTTGTTGGTTTAAAAAGAAACATTTATAGACAGAAAAAAGTTCATACTTGGGATGAGAGCAACTGGTCGCACTTTCAGAGACGAGCCGATGACGATCAGAAGGTCAACCTCATCTTTGTCCTGCTTCATGGCTCTGTGGAACAATTCTGGCAGATTTTCTCCAAAAAAGACGATGTCAGGTTTCATGATGGCCAGAGGAATATCCGGACACCGCGGACAACGAGGGACAACCTGCGAAAGGACTTCATCTGTTAGCTTACAGCCAAAGAATGTTGTAGACGAATATGAACGAAATCTGTATAGGACCGGAAAAGGTTAAATATCCCGGAAAGGGTCAAAGTGACATGATGTCTGTTTTTCTTTTTAACTGGTTTCTAAGCATCACAACCTTAAAACATGAGAACCAACTCTCCAACTACCATCCAATATAAAATTGTTAAAGTGAAATAAAACTGTTTATTTGAAAGCTATGTGGTCCAAGTATTATTTACAGTGGGTTACTTTTTAGTGAAAGGCTAATCTAAAGGAAGAACGTCAAACGCCCAAAACCCTTCTCGTGTGCGGTCAAAATCCTGCACCAAACCAGACCCAAAGGTCAAGAGTCTTCTGTTTTCCTTACCCAGTTCTAAAACTATATGCTAAGATCTTAAGATATACATTTAGATTATGTTCTTTGGATATTAAGGACTTAAATAGCTGTGATTTGTCAATATCAGCTGGTGACCAATGTGACTGAAATCATTGAAAGCACTTGTCTAGAAGTTGTCTTAGTTAATTTCATGCTGCAAACATTAGAAATGACATAAAGCCAGATCTAATCAATGGATTAACACACCAAGGTCTTGTTTTCATTTAACAAAAAAAGTTGCATTTAAGAAATTAAGATTATTGTTGTCAAGAAAAGACATATACCATTAACTCGTATTTGAAAATCTCATCCTAAAAAGGCTCCCTTTCCCAGAGGGCCAAATTTTGACCATTGAACTCTTGAGGAGCCACACAAAACATATCCAAATGGCCCTTAGGCCACACAATGGAAAACCCCCAACTTAAAACATCAAATATAAGTTGACATCAATATTTTTTAGTCTTAAAAAAATCTGACAAAACTGCTAGTGAACGAGGTACCCTGCACCAGTGTGTTGTTGATAAATACCTGATTTAGGATGTCAGCCCTTATTGCCTCACAATCCACTTTGTGTTTACAGACAAGACAGGATGCAGTTGCAAATGACCCTGAAATGACAAAAGGAGTACATCTCTGTGAAGATTCTCAGTCATCCAGGCCATGGTCAAGCTTGAAAAGTACTGTTTTCTGGAAACGTTTTCAGTTTAACTTCATTTAGCTACAAGTTAGACAGTGGGATCAACTCACCATGGCATTGGATGATCCGCTGAACTCCAGCCACTTGCTCCAATGTGTCAATGTTTTGTGTGTAATTGCGCAGCAGCTTCCCTTGTTTATCCAGCATAGATATAAATCTGTGACATGGTGAAGGCTGAAACTGACCGGGGAAGATCTCCTGCAAGAGAAACAATATATTCAGCATTAACAGAAATCAAAAAGGCCATAGTTGCGTATATTACAATAAACAAGCCTCTTAAAATGTTGAAGTTTCTGAATCAGCTTTACTTCATAACTTGAGAAAACTGACTAAATTTGTTGAGGCCTTTCAAACTATCAGCATTTTTTTATTTAAACCAGTACTAAAAAATACCTAAGAACTGGGGTTTTAAAATGCAGTTTTCAAATTTTCATGCTTTTTTCCCTCAGGAAATAAGAGTAATAAAAAAGAAAATCTAACTACTAATACATTTTAATACTTATTTTCTTGTTTTTCAATGTATATAAATGGTTTCTGCCAGGGGCCATTAAATAATCTATGATTCATTTTCAGGTAGGTCCCAAATAGTATTTATTAATTTTTTTTTAAAGGAATATATGAAACAGATTGAAGTTATAGACAAACCTTTGCAAACTTGAAAAAGGGTCTGGGGTCTCTCCTGAAGTATTCAATGTCAAACATGGACTGAGGATCTGGAAGGTCAGGAAAATCCACAGCGAGTCGCGCATAAATTCCATCTCTGGAGCGAAAGTCTGGTATCCCACATGAAACTGAAACCTAAAAACAGATCATGTTATTTTTTTTTACATCTACCTTTTTAAATAAAACCCTATGAGTATTACAACTGCAGATGCTTACACCAGCTCCAGTCAGCACAAGTATCCTTTTGCTTTCATGAAGCAGCTTGACCACATCTTCAAAGCTGTTGATATCCTTTCGTTTTCTTCTTTTTGGAGGTTCTGAGATGTTGATGATTATCTGCCATAATGTCATGTCATCTAAATCTGGAGGAAGTATGGTCTCAGGAAGCAAATCCCTCAATATAGCCCTCGGGTCCGTCTCTCTGATGTGTTGCTGGATGTAACTGTAGGAACCTGTGAACAGGTAGGAAAAAGAAACAAGACACAGAACCGTAACATTGGTTAATTTCAATTATGAATGGCAGCTCATTAAAATATATTTAAAACCAGAACTTTGTTGTACTGAGGAATAGAAAAATCTCCCAATTACTTATTTGCGGTTGAGGAGTCCAGTCACTGGAGCTTGCATGTGAAGATCTGTCATCTTCCTCATCAATGTGTTCTGGTGTGACAGCAAGGCCATTGGGAAGCAGATCGTCATGCCCAAGAAAACCTGAACAGAGAGGGGAAAAAAAAAAAAGTTCTGTGTTATAAACAGCTGGAAAATACTGCATTTCTTCAAATAATAAGCATGTAAAGAGTATACAGCAGAGTCTAAAATATATTTCTATTAATTATTTTATAATTGGATGTATTAATTATTTTATAATTAATATGTTACAAAAAAACTTATGTCCAATTAATATGCATGTATTTAAAAACATTTATACAAAGGCAATGCAGCGCAAGGCCCCAAGGAAGTAGAAACTCAAACTAATGGTGTTGCCGAATTCAGCGTTACACCGGCAACTGACACAAACTTGTTCCAAAGTTAAGTGCCATTGAAAAAGTTTCAAGGGATTTTGTGTTTTTTCTGCTCTTCTTTGATAAACAAAAGACAAGTTGGTGAGAAAAATAAAATGTATATCATTTAATTGTTGAAAGTAAAAAAAAAAAAAAAAAACTAGCTAGCCGGTGATTGATCAGTGTGTACTTGGTGTCTTTCGCGCTACATACCGACACATTCCCCAGTCGCACCAAAGGCGGTGCTGTCGCTTAACTTCCCAGTTTGTATGAGCGGCTCGGGGACCGGCAGGCCAAGTCCATTGTTGTCCTCGCCTTGCGGTGCCGGGGCCTGTTCCACCGCCATCACCACCGGCTTCGCTTCCTTCTTCTCAGTTGGCGGCGCACAATGCTCCGCCGCCTCCCGGCTCCCAATGGCTGCGGAAACGCACGAGTGCTTGTCCGTTTCGGTAGATTTGGGTCCATGAATAGTCACCGGGGTTAATTTGGACCTTTTCGCGACAGGTTCCTCCATTTCAGAGGCGCCAGAACAGGCCGTTCCGAGAGCGTTCTCTCTGTCCGCCATCTTCAGCCCACAGATCCGCTGCGCAGCTCCTTCCTCTTGAACAGCTGGTGTCACGTGACGTGCTGTCAGCCAATAGGAACAAGCCGAGCGTCCCCATTGCGCGTCCGTAACATGATACCACAACAAATTGGTGCTGCGTTTAAGTGCTACAAGTAGAATATATTTAAACCTGGTGAAAAAAAATCACAGAAACTATAGAAATAGTGGATTGAAACAAAAGAGTTTACATTTGTAATTATTTAATGTGGGTTACATTGATATATTTTAATTAACCTAACGTTCATGCATTTTTCTCCTCATGAGTTTTGATTAATTACAAGAAGGTTCACACGCAAATGGATCGTTTTGATTACAGAAAAGTACAAAAAAAAAATAATAATCCACTGGACTTTGTCTCCTTTATTTGGAAACAAAGTCCAGTAGATTGTTTTTTTTTTTGTTTTTTTACTTTTTTTTAATGACTATGACCTGGATGACTGAGAAACTTCACCAGCGCATCGTTTTGATGTCAGGGGGGAGGTTTTACGTAAAAACTTGAATGTAACATGCGTCACATGAAAGAAAAGGGGACATACACGTTTATCCCACAGAAGAGCTCTAGATTGGCTTTTATAGCTGTTTGAGTATATTTGTAGTTAGTGCATAAATATCTAATTACTGTACCAGTTTGAGGGAAAGCCGAGATAGAGCAGTCCCTGAACTAATCAGCTGCAGCGTTGCGCAGCTGCACCAGGTTGCGATAAAAAGGGACTTAAAAGGTGTTTTTTCTTTCCCTGACAGCTCAGATATGGAGGCTATTTTTGGTCGTAAACAGGAGGACTTGGAAGATTACTATGGATTGTTAGGATGTGATGAACTGTCATCGGTAAGCTGTCAGTGACTGACATATTACACATTCAGAACCTATTTTAAGGATGAAAAACAATTTAAAGATGTAAAATATTGAATAATCATTAATTATTAAGTAATTAAATGGTTGTTGATAAACTATATAATGCATGTTTGCGGTTAATAGTGACTTTTTGTGAAACCTGTTGCTTTGGATCTAGAAAACCCTATTGTATTGCAGCTGTTTTTGTGTAAAGTGATAATTAAAGGGCTGACAAGAGGCAAGGCAAGGCAAATTTATTTATATAGCACAATTCAGTACAAAGACAATGCAAAGTGCTTTACATGATTAAAATATAGGAAAATACAACAGAATCAAAGCAAGTAGGAAAAAAATAAAATAAAATAAAAAATGCAGAAACAAAAAACATTAAAAAAAAGTTGGACTAAAGAAAATAAAAAAGTTGAACTAATGATGTTTCAGTTGAACTGTTAAACTAGAACGGTCAAAGGCAATCCTAACAAAATGTGTTTTTAGTCTTGATTTAAAGGAACTCAGGCTTTCTGCACTCTTACAGTTTTCTGGAAGTTTGTTCCAGAGCTGCATTCATGATAGGAAAACATATGGAGAGTCAATATAGGGAGTAATGCAGAAGCATAACCTGAAAGCAGCGGACTTCCCTGGACCTAGAAGGGATCACATGAGGATTTCTAGTGTTTTAACAAAGAATACTCAGTTTGTCACAAAGTCAGCCAAATGAAACAGCTCACAAGGTTCACTAAAACAAGAATCTTAGGAAATCTGTTTTTTTTTTTTTTACTTTCTGAATTATTTTTATGTCTCTTTATGTTCTCTTAAAGATTGAGCAGATCCTCAATGAATACAAGATTAGAGCCTTATCGTGTCACCCGGATAAACACCCTGACAACCCTACAGCAGGTAAATATAAAATCCATTTTCTGTGAGGTGACAACATCAAACTTCACAATCATTACCTGGGAAATTCAGCAAGTTGCTTTAACATATTGTTATTTAATAGTTCAACTATGCATGATTAAATATTCTCTTAGCATTTATTAAGAAGACATCATAATAAAGATAAAGGAACTGAACTCAGCAGGTTTAAGTAATAACACAGCATCCTGAGCTGTAAATTTTTTATAGAGATCAATGTATCAACTGCAGAAATACTAATCCAACATCCACATAAACTAATTAACCACCTCAGAAGGTCAGAAAAGAGGCTCATGGTAGCTTTGGAGGAGCTGCAATCCTCCACAGCTCAGGTGATAATCTGTTGAGATGACAAATATTAGTTGCTTTTCCTCAAATCTGGCCTTTATAGCGGAGTGATAGGGAAAAAAGTAATTGGAAGAGGATGAAGGGTTCTGTTGGCAGTTTGTAAAAAGCCATCAAGGGTAATAACTGGAAGAAGTTGAACAGGTTGCCTGCGTGTGTGTCGCAGTTAACCTGTTTGGTACCTAATGGCAGACACTCTGGCTGTAGTGCTGTCCACAACGCCTGGCACACATCAGACACTATCCTAGACACCATACAGGGCGCTAGTTTGTAGCTCTGTCTGTTGGTTTGCACCTGAAGCCAAAACATGCAGCGCCACGGCCTGTCTTTCTGGAATACTCACAGGTGAACTGTGTGTTGTCTGGCATTGAATGAGGGGTTATAGACGGCAAACAAGCTCATCAAAAGACACACAAACAACCACAATCCTAGCTAGTTCGTGATTGTCCCTTTTGAGTTGTTGCATGGAATAACATTGCGCAGACCAAGCTTCAAAATTGGGCATAAATCCATAATATCTGCGTCATACCTGCGATAAGCACTGTGTGAAACACAGTGATGGCAGCATCATGCCGTGGGATCGATTTCCTAAACAGCGAAGGATTAGCTGGTCATAAGAAGATGGTTGAAGGTTGAAAGGAAAGCAATCATGTCAAAAAACCTATTGGAGGTTTATTTTCCATCTGGACAAGGATCTTAAAAGCACAACCGGAGATACAGTTTGATGGTTAAATCACAAATGTCTGCTTTTACTCACCTGAATCAAATATTTAGGTCATTTGCAGGACTGGAGAACTTGACTTCGACTGAGGTGGCCGTTTGATTTAGGTGTGTTGGACCAGGGAGATTATGCTTTACTAATGGCTTCTGTCCAATCCAACAGAGCTTTAGAATATTAAACAAAACAATTCAGTCTCTAGATGTGGAAATCAGGTAGAGGGAAACCATGTTTTCAGCGCCCTGAACCTCAAAAATCTGTTTCCCCAGGTGGAACAATTTGATGGTTTATCTTATCAAATTAAAATACAAGCATAGAATATGGCGGTAACAACAAAAAAGGAAAAAAGTTCATGTGAAGTGAATATTTTTGCAAATCACTGAATATTTGGCACCATTTTCATGTTTTTATATCAGTCTTTCTACCCCCCTTTTTATGATGATTTGACTTCAAAGCAAATCATTTTTAATGAGGAAGAGGTAATTATCATCTCCTGATTCTGTGAGCGACGTGACTCACAATAAGACTCTGCTGTTTCCTTTGATCTCGACAGTTACTGATTTCCAAAAGCTGCAAGAAGCCAAAGAGGTTTTATGTGATGAAACCAAAAGGAAGAACTACGACCACTGGAAAAGAAGCGGCGTCTCTATCCCATTCCAGGAATGGCAGGCCCTGAATGATTCAGTTAAAACTGTACGTATCGCCTTCACTCTGTGGAGTTTTTCAGCCGTTCTCCGGCTGCTGTTTTCTGACACAGGCTGATTGTGTTTGCAGTCAATACACTGGGCTGTGAGGACCAAGAAGGAGCCGATGTTGGAGGCCTGCAAACCAGAGGATCCAGTCGCTTTCCAGTCAGAGGAACAAGAAAACAACAAAAATACTTCAGATGAAGGTTCCTCCTGTAAGGGAATAACAATAAATGTGAAAAATAGAGCTGAAAGCCACTTTAGACGTATCTGACCCTAACTAACACTCCTAAGTAAAGGTTAATTTATTAAATAAATTGACTATAAAGGCTCTGATTTCACTGTGAAACTGCTGGTTTTCTTCCCAGTGAGTGTACATTTCTACTCGTTTCATTTGAATTGCTGAAGGGAGCAATAGAAAGGAATTAGGGCAAAAAAAAATTAATCGGATTAATCGTGATTAATCGATTATTGAAATAATCATCAACTAATTTACTAGTCGATTAATGGTTAACTGGAGTGTAGAGACTCTAAAACATGCCTTTAGTTGACAGAGCGACTCACTTAGAGCAGTAATTATACCAACACTGTAAAAAAAAATATATAAACATTTTGCATTTAAGATAAAAAAAAAAATGTTTTTGTTTGTCAATATTCTCTATCCAGAGCTCAATTGGAAAAGTTTTCGTTTCAGCTCATTTAATTTTATATATATATCTATATATACCTATATATAGATATATATATATATATATCTATATATATATATATAGATATATATATTTTTTTAATATATATATATATATATAAATAAATAAAAAAAACAACAAAAAACAAAGAATTAAGCCTTCCAGTTTTGAACTTTAGCCTTGGTTAAAATGAACCAGTCTTTTGAATGGAGAAAAAAAGTCTTCCTTTGGGGAGACTATCCCCTTAGGGAAATTTCTGTCACTTTTGTAAACCAATATCTTCGATAAAAAGAGTGTCCACCATTTAGAGTTTCTAGGAATGTTTGTCAGATGGTGTGACAGTGTATATAAGAGTATATATAAGTATATAAGAGATGCTAACAAAGATCAACATTTTTGATGACAGAAAAGTTTATCAATTATCTGCTAATAAACAAAATAAAAAGAGAGAATCAACACAACAAATATGTAAATAATGATAGTTTATTGAAATAATGAGCCACTTTTTTCTTTAGTTTTTAATTAATTAGTTCAGTTTATTTATATAGTGCCAATTCACAACAAATGTCATCTCAAGGCACTTTACAGTTCAACCAGATCATAGAGTCAACAACAACAACAAAAATCTCCTTTAAGGAAACTTAAAAAACAATCGACAGATTAGTCGATCTGCAATAATCGTTACTTGCAGCCCTAAAAGGAATATTTTGCTGACATATTAGAAATTACAAATATTGAAACAAGTTATTCTTATGCGAGTATGAGAAATAAAGAGAATTTAATTTAAAACATGAACACACCGCTCATTTTAGAGAAAACAGATCTGAATGTTATAGAGATGTAATCCAGTCCATCCATACAGAGGGACCCCGCAGCAATGCCACTAAGTGGACAGTTTTAAGGAAACCCAGCTGCAGCATGTTACTAATTTTACAGCAATCCCTCCTCATAAATGGGCATCGCGTCATTTATAAATTTTCAGCAATTATAATGCTAAAGTAAAAACCGTATGGCGCAGATTGCTGCTTTTGAGCAGGAACATTTTTCAACTGATTCACTTCTGGACTTTAGGCCATTTTAACACATCTATATGCATGAAATCATTCTGTTATTTGGCTCAATTTGAAGGTGAACCAAAGTTTAAGCTGTTTTACAGCCTCTAACAGGTTTTAATTAGCGCTGCGCCGATGCCAATTTTTGGCACCGATACCCAATACCTGGGTGTGCAGTATTGGCCAATACCATCTGTTTGAAATTGATGTGTGTATATATGAAGAACTGCATACTACTTAGATGTAAAATAATTGCCATTATGGTTTTGTCAAGCTGCGTCCTACCTTTGTAAAGCAGGAAAGATCACACAATAAACCAAAATTTAGCTCAGAGCATGTATCATCTCCGCCTGTCTCTGCTAAATTGCTTCTCTGATGATCGTGTTCCTTATCCAGGCTTTGAGTTTAAAAAAGGAAGCCCATGACTCGGTCGGTTTGCAGCTTTGCCGCCTTCTTTACATTAATGTGATGGATTAAACTGAGCTCTGTGAGATGTTTAAAGTTCGGGCTATTGCTTTAAACGTCTCCACATCTTCTTTCCTAAGCTGTGAACATGATGCTGGTTTTCATTTATGTTCTTTTTGCAAACGTCTCAGACCTTCAGAGACAAATTTATGCTGAGATGAAATTACACACAGATGGACTTCATTTGTTGATGGGTGGAGTGAATTTTATTTTAGGGTATTTAGGCTTTAGGTTCACAAGCAAAGGATGTTTTTTACAATCAATATGATGTCATCCCTTAGGTTTAAAGAGGGTCAGATAAATCATGACATAAATTAGTGTGAAGGTTCCACAAAGTAAATTTACCATGACATAAGTTTAGTCATTTATGGTATTTATTTGTTTTATACATGATTCAAATATTAGATATACCATTAAATAATAAAATGATTATTGAAATAATTAAATGTAATTGAAAAATAAATAAAAAATTTAATATAATAACTTAACTCTGTATTTACAACTAAGTATGTAATGAGATAATTATATACATTTTTAGAGGGTCATCGGTACGTTTTAAAGTTATTTTTGTGGTTACAGACTGATATTTAAGAACCCCTGATTTAGGGTAAGCATATAGTATGCAATTCATACATACTATATACATGAATTATTTCATTTCATAGTAATAAAATAAGTTATTATTTTAGAACAAATAATACCCAGTTTACTGGTAAATAAAGGACTAAAAAGCTTGAATAATTTTCTTTCTAATTAGCTCTGTTTCATGATGGTTGACAGATCCTGATGTAACGCACTGCAGGGGGAGGTTGATATTTGACAAAAAGTGGAAAAGTTAAAGTGGAAAAAGAGTATATTTATGCTTTTGGAAGAGAGTACAGATCTACATCCATTCTTCGCTGACTCTCTTTCCATGTCATTGGTTACCTTTGAAAAATTAGCTGATTTCTTTTCTCTTCTTTTCCCCCTCAGCTGATTTCTACCATCGACGTTTCCGTTGGGCCTCAGACTCCCCATCCTATCTGCTGCAGAAGTTCAGAAATTATGAAATATGAAATTAGCGGCTTAAAAACCTAGTATTCCTAAATGTTACTGTAAATGTTAGTTTTTTGTGAGTCCACTAAGTGCCTGTGCTGGAACAGTCGTGTTGATGTGATTGTGGTTGTGTGTCTGTATGTGTTTAACAGCCTGTTGCATTTTGCATATTTGATGTGCTCTGTCTTAGACTCTCCATGATTTATTGTGCATTTCTGTGTTGCAAACTGAACCATTTTGTGTCATTTATTGTGATGAATGTTGTTGTTTCTGACCTTTAGCTGCTGCATGATGAGTCATGGTATTTGTTTAAAGTGGAACACTCTGCTTCTTAGAGTCATAAGGCATTAAAACTGGTTTAACTTTAGCTTTTAAAGATTTTAAAGACCTATTTCCCTTGTTTTCAATGCATTTAAAAAAAAATTCTGAATATTATACCACTCCAATCTGATTTATATATTCTCTTTTTCTCTGGTTGTAAATTAATACTAAAGTTTGCAGAGGAAGTTGGAGTTTCTACAAAATTGCTTTACATTAAAAATACCCCCAAACCAAAAATAATCTTTTTGCAAAAATGTTTTCAATTCAATGATTTAGAAAGTTACATATAGTGAATAGAAATAAATTACAATTTTGTGTATTTTTTTGTTTGTTATTTACTTTTAACCAGTAAAAGTTAATTAACCAGTAAAATAGAGACTTAAATCAGTACAACCAGCATGTATTAAGGGGTTATTAAGGAGTGCTTCTTGTTTTGCAGTTCATTTAAATCTTTCTTTGCTATTAATTAACTCTTAACAGCCTTAGAAGCCTTATTACTCTTTGGATCAGCTTTGGTAATATTAACTCACATCTAGGATGTGAGACAGATGACAACATCAACTTGCAAGGATTTTGTGAGCTGTTTTTTTTTTTTTCTTTTTTTTTCCAATTATTTGTTTACAAGGAAGAGAAATCTGTCTGGTTAGAAATATTTCCAGACAAAATAATAAGGAAATTAAAGGAACGACGGCCATAAGTTCTACATGTCAAACACTGGGCTGCAGCCAACAGCATGCTGGCTACCTGAGCAGGTAACACAGCTAATTAACCAGCTGATAGCAGTTGGCCTATTTTATGTTATTGCTTTGGTCTCAATTAAATTAATAAAAATTTTAAACAACAGAGTTATATCAGGAAAATTGCATTTTGTTTCACTAACATTTCTGACCCATGCCAACTGTTACTTGTGAGCTGTATTAAATCAGCTGCATGAACAGCCTATCTAATAGATGGATGTGTAGAATTTGACTAGGCCGTTCTAAAACCCATTTAATTTTATCAATATTTAGCAGCAAACTGGATGATTTCAGTTTTTAATCCTGATGCATTCCCCAAGTATGTTTCAGCTCAAAAAATGGATGTTTAGACGTGTTCGTGGAAGATTCTCAGAGCGAAAACAGAACCTATTTATTTCACTTCCTGCACAAAATAACAGCAACACAGTTTATTAAAGACAATAAATGAATGGTTGGGAACCACAAAAATTGTGAATATATATTTTACAGCACTGTAATTTAGATAAATATTTCAGTTTTTAGAGCACAGTCAGTTATTTTTCTATAAACGAATAAAAACGTATATAATAGAACTGCAGTAAGCTCAAAACTAGTCAGAATCACAAGCTTATATATTTATCCAAACCATATTTTTCTAAATTACAGTAAATTGAAACCAACAAAGTGTATGTTGTACATTGTAATGTAATAAAGTACATTTATTCTGACATTGTGGTGTGTTATTGTGTTTTATTGCAGATTGTTGTTTTGTTATCTTTAGACCTGTGCCACAGTTTAGACTTTTTGTAATCCAGTCCATCCAAGTCAGGTCCATCTTTACACCATCTTTTATTTAAATTTATTCATGTATTTTTACAGTATGTTATTTATTCTCTTTCCTTCCACTGATCTTTACCTTAATGGGGGTGAATAACATAAGCCACACACTGAGAACCTTATGTTTATATTTATGACAGATCTATAAGTATTTTATTTTTTCATTCTTAACTATACACTAGTTTCCAACTACGTTCATTTTTCCATGAAATATTGGTTATAATTAAATGCATCTTTGCTGTTCTCTAATTCTGTTTTAAATTAAAAATAAATAAATGGGCTCAGATCAAGTCAAATACAGCTTGTTCCTTTGTTTTTCTTTTTTGAATGAATAAATACATGTTTTTTTTTTTAGATATTTCACAAACAAATCCCCTAACAGGGAATTAATATCTGTGATAAAATATGAGTGAGGAAGATGTAAAAAACAAATAATCTCTAAATGGCACAAAGTGCCAAAATAGCTAATTTAAAAGCACTGCTTGGATTTAAAGTAATCAATTGCTTTTATAACTTTGCTTTTTGTTCAGTGGCCCTAATCTTCTTCCGTACTTTTGACACATTTCTTAATCTATTTTATTTTAAATGTGTATTCAAGTAATTAAAAAAAAAAAAATTAGAACTGTAAATTTAAAGTAATTTTTAGTACTTTTCAAGGCTGCACTTTTAAAGAAATGAAATTGTCCATTGAGCTGTTTTCAAACGAAATTTCTTTTTGTTTTAAACTTGTGTAAACAAAATGACAAATAAAATCTGTCTAAAGTCTCTAAGTGAAAAAAGGTGTTATTCAAGTAATTGAAAAACATCTTTAAATTTAATTAATCAAATCCTCCTTGAATTTTGTGAGCTATAATAATTTAATTCTTCAAAAGAGGTTTCTTTTCTTTCTAGGTAAAATAGCTGGGAATTTTATTTTATTTCTACAATTACAATCTTTTTCCACAATCAACAAAAAGCGATAGGGCAGATTTGCAAGTCTTGAAATGCCCTCGGCTAATTCTCTTCAACCACTAGATGAAGCTAATGTGTCCAATGACGTCATTATGTTCAGAGTTAAATGGCCACTGGAGTGGCTCGTTCATCGCCGGGTGCGGTGGCGCGCGCCTGTAATCCAAGCTACCGGGAGGCTGAGGCTGGCGGATCGTTTGAGCTCAGGAGCTCTGAGCTGCAGTGCACTATGCCGATCGGGTGTCCGCACTAAGTTCGGTATCGATATGGTGCTCCTGGGGGAGCCCGGGACCACCAGGTCGTCTAAGGAGGGGTGCACCGGCCCAGGTCGGAAACGGAGCAGGTCAAAGCCCCCGTGCCGCTCAGTAGTGGGATCGCGCCTGTGAATAGACGCTGTAGCGCAGCCTGAGTAATACAGCGGGACACAGTCTTTTTTTCCTCCTCATACATTATAATAATAACCACTTTACGCTGAAATGAGTAAAGAAATATTTTAAAGCATCAAAATAATCGGTTTTTACAAACCAAAACCACTGCAGATGACTGGGCTCACAGCGCCTCCTCCTGGACAATGGTACACATAACCATAAAAAAAACTACACAACAGTAAATATCACTACTGTTGTTTTATTTCTCCTGATAAAACAAAAATATAATTGGAAACGTTAAAAGATGAACCGCCGTTTTTTAATTAACTGAAAGTTAAAACAATCAAACAAGCAATGGAATCCAAGGATAAATGAGAAAAAGCGAAAAAAGCAGAGATCATTTGAAGCCATTTCAGAACAGTCAAGTGATGAATCTAGAAATTCCACAGGAAAACAAAATAAACTTGTAGATGTCCAAAGTGCCAGAATAAGTTATAGTGGAGACTTGTTAATAACCTGCAGAGACAGCCTCAACAAGGCAAGGCTATAAGAATGAACAAGATTGAGGGAAGAAAGGCTCAGTGCAGCTTGCTGAAGAGCAAAAGGATGAGCTGGGGAGTCATTGGACCTCTAAAAGTAACTGACAAAGAGATTCTAGAAAACATAATTGGTGCAAAAGTAAAAGAAGCCAAAGGGTTAAAAAAAAGTTTAAATTAAACAGTTCGTTTTATTATTATTATTTTTCTTTTCTGACGGGTGAGTCTTGTTTCCTGTTTCCTTGTGTAACTCCTTATCAGTTGGTGGCGGTAATGCACTTTGACTAGTTTGCCAACCGCCATAAAACTTCACAAGAAGAAGAAGAATACAATATATAGAATAAAAAAAAAAAAAAGACTTTTAACAACAATTTATTTACATAATCCAAACATATAAACAATGAACATAAAACAAGTGTTAGTTAAAAATAATTAAATAATGAGCTTGTCAAAATGTAGTTCTCTGTCATCTGACACAACTGAATAAATAAAATCCTCCATGTTCTGTGTGGTTCTTTGGAAGTGAAACTCCAGCCTTATTACTTAGAAGAAGAAGAAGAAAGGAACTGCTTTATTTTTTTTTATATAACTTTATTTGAACAGTAACAATGACAAACTCAAACATTACAGTATAAAAAAAAATCACAATCATACCTCCTAACACTTTTCTTAATTTTTTTTTCTTTTCTTTCAAGTTTCAATGTAAACAGATGTTCAGTTTATGCAATACACTTCAGAAAGAGAGAAAAAAATCGAAAATGCAAAGATATATATAATTACATATGTCGAATATAACAGAATTATAATGAAAGATAAATAAACAAAACCAAAAATACAAAACACACACAAAAAAGTAAGCATTATTCTTTAATTTGGGCTGAAATAAATTAGAGGTGATATGACAATTTTTTTGCTTTTGGTTTCCTAATTTTGTCCAAAAAGAACTGTTTTGTTGCTGAATGAGTCTGTCTCTTTTATTTTAATTGAATTCTTTTTTAAGTTTTGTATGTCTCCATTGGTTGTAATATCACTGCCTGTTTATTATTATTATTTATTTATTTCTGTTGCCTTGAACAAATTAAGTTGATCTCTGTATATAACAATAATTTTCTCTTTTTTGTAAGAAAGAAAAGTGGAGATTCCTACTTGAAAATGTAAATTGTAAAAAATAATACCCTCCACCAGGTGGCGGTAGAGACAGCAAACCTTCGAGCTCCTCTTCCTGTGATTCAGACACGTGCTTCCTGTGTCAGCGGGCCCATGTGGTAAACAAGCTCAGGAGTGGAAGCCCAATCATGGAGTTTACTGATAAGTGGACGAATTTACCTCCAGGACCGAGTCTGAAAAACCTGACGGACGGAGGGTTCGGGAAACTGAAGGACAAACAGCATGCTGCGGTCCAGGACTTGACCAAAGCTCACATCGAGTCGTTTAACCAGGCTGTTACTGAGGGACTCACACGGGTGGTTCAGGTCAGTCCCACCGAGGGTTCAATTACGGAATCGTTCTGTATTTAGAAATAGAAGCACCTGTCCCGTATTTAGCGGAAAAGGAACGCACTTTGTCCCGTATTACTGTGAGAGTAAAACAATTGTAAACGAAAAGCTAATGAAAACAAGGGCACCTTAGATACAAAACTTACGGTAAAGTTGTTCATGATGATTTTTCTGTTTTTCAACTGTAGCCTGCAGTCATTGCATTAAAGGCACAAATATCTTTTACAAGTTTGCTGTTGCACAAAAATGTGCACTATTTATATATTGTTTCATATTCATTTTTACAGTTTAAAGTTAAGCAGGACAAGCTTATGTGTAAGAAACTTGTTTTATTCAGCAAAGTTTGTTATTTTGTATCAAAGTGAATTGCTGGATAATAAATAATTTTCCAAGTGTTCATGTCACTCACAAATATGCATCTAATTCAATCGGATTTGAGTCAAATAGTAAGAAAAATCATTTCACACACAAAGGAGGGCTGAAAAAAATAATGACCACCCCAGGAGGGGTAAAGGTACAGAAGAGGATTAGGGCCACTGGAAAAAAAAAAAAAAAGTTTACTGATTTTAAAATTTTATTTCAATTTAGTATTGGAAAAAAAAGTCAGAATTCTGACTTTTTTCTTCTCAAAATTCTGGCTTTTCTTCTCAACATTCTGACTTTTTTTCTCATAATTTCGACTTTTTTCTCATAATTTCGACTTTTTTCTCAGAATTCTGACTTTTTTTCTCAGAATTGTGACTTTAATCTCAGAATTTTGGATCCTAATGTAGATGGGCACCATGAAAGAAGAGATGTGGAGCACTCAGCTTCACTGACAAAGATGTGAGTTGTTTGAGGTGGCCAGTGACACATTGGTGGAAACTGATGGAATTAGGCAACTTTTTACGTGCCCGAGGGGTCCCCTCATTAATGGAGGAGCAGGTCATTAAAACAGACATGGCTATGGCTTGATGCTAACATGTTTGTTAGCTGTCAGAATTCTGAGAAAAAAGTCAGAATTCTGAGAAAAAAAGCCAGAATTCTGACTTTTTTCCCATACTAAACTGAAATAAATGTTAAAAATCAGTTAACTTTTTTTTTTTTTTTTCAGTGGCCCTAATCCTCTTCAGTATAAAGGCAATCAGGTCAGCTGGCACAAACATGAGGTGTCCCTTATTTTCCAGGTAGTTGGCAACCATGGTCCCACCAGCCCTGCAACCAAACCTGAAACACCATGCCATTAGATAAGATTGGAAAACTAGGCTCTGTAAACGTATGACAAGATTCTATTTATGTTCATTTAGATGTGAATGACATAAAAAACGACTTTTATTTCATAATTTTCTAAAAGTTGTCCACTCTTTTATTTTATTGGTATCTTCCTGCTTTATTTCCTTTCCTCCTAGGTAATCCTTTTCTTTTTCCCTCCATCATGCACGCCACTTCCTTCCTGTTTTGCATTTTTTTTTCACCCTTCCAAACACGACTGTACAGATTGGATTGTTTTTTTTCTTTTAGGCCATCCCACCCTTGGAGTTCATGTTCAAACAGGACAGGGTGACCCTAACATTTGTGGAAGCCACCATTCACAACCCGGTGGTCACCAAGGGGAGCGTCTGCACAGAGATGAAGGTGTTTCCTGCAGAGTGTCGGGGAAGAAGGTGTTCCTATAAAGGGAAGCTGGTGGTAAGATGGGATTATTTCCTTTCCTTTTCGTGCAGCAAGCATCCTTCAGATGAGGATCCTAACAGAAAGGTTTGTCCTCTGATTGTGTGGGCTTTGTGTCGTTTCAGGCCGACGTCAGTTGGGCGATTAACGGAATTCCTAAAGGTATCGTGAAGCAGTCGCTGGGCCAGGTTCCAATCATGGTGAAGTCACAGCTATGCAACCTCCATGGCCTGTCCCCTAAAGAGCTCGTAAAGCATCACGAAGAAGCGGAGGTTGGCTTATCGTTGCTATAAAAGTCCTATTAGAGTTAGAGTTTTTATCTTTAACAGGAGGTTTCTTCCTGTTAAAAGGGAGTTTTTCCTCTCCACTGTCGCTACAAGCATGCTTAGTGTAAAGGGATTGCCTTTGAGTCAATTAGTCGATGGAATCAACTGGTTTTCCTTAGATAGAAATCTTTGAATCAATTTGACTGTATGATCTGGTGAACTGGAAAGTGCCTTTAGATAACACATGTTGTGAATTGGCGCTATATAAATAAAATGAATTTATTTATCTTGTTAAGTCTATTATAAGATAACTATATGGAGAGCCATTTCAGCCAAAATTAAATAAATAAATGGGTGAAATAAATAAAAAATAAGTTAAAAAAAATGAAGAAAATGAGTGAAATAAATAAAACATTTGTTAAATAAATAATTTAGCTTTTTCATTAAACCAATTTTTAATTTATTTATTTTTCATATGATCAATTTCCCAATTTCTCCTTTTCATTTATCTATTTGTCATTTATCCCTTTACCCAATTTTTCATTATTCTAATTTTCATTTAACCACTTTTCAATTTCCCTTTCTCATTAAGCCATTTTTTTATTTATTTATTAAAAATGGGTAAAGGAAAAATAGATAAAAGAAAATGGGTCAGTAAAAAAAGGGATATATGAGAAATTGATTAATGGAACTGGGAAATAGAAAATCGGGTTAATGGAAAAAGGAAATTGAAAAATGGTTAAATTAAAAAAAAGATTATTGAAAAATGGGTAAATAAATAAAGGGATAAATGAAAAATGGACAAATGGAAAAATAGATAAATGAAAAATAGATAAAACAGAAATTGAGAAATAGATAATCTGAAAAATAAATACATTAAAAAATTGGGAAAAAGGGAAATTGAAAAGTGGTTAAATGAAAATTAGAATAATGAAAAATGGGTAAATGGATAAAGGGATAAATGACAAATAGATAAATGAAAAAGAGAAATTGGGAAATTGATAATATGAAAAATAAATAAATTAAAAATTGGTTTAATGAAAAAGCTAAATTATTTATTTAACAAAATTTTTATTTATTTCACTCATTTTCTTCATTTTTTTTATTTATTTCACCCATTTATTTATTTATTTAATTTTGGCTGAAATGGCTCTACATACATTATAAGATAACTACACATTATCGAAGGTAAGTGAGATAATCCACACTGCTTCCCAGGAGCTTCACAATGGCAGCCCATAGCTCCCTAAGGGGATGGGTTAAATGCAGAGAGTTAATTTCTTTGCCCTGTACTTGTGACAGGGTCATGACAATAAAAAGTAAAAAAACAAACAAAAAAGATGATCCAGCCCTATTGTAAAGATATTAACAATAACAGCATTGAGTTTAAAGTTTTCTAATGACTGCACCCTGCTTTGTAGCTGTAGTGGTTTATATATTTAACAAATCTGATAAAGTAATGAAGAAAAGTGACTATTTCTCAAAGGTCTGGTCAAAGGAGTATTAAAAAAAAAAAAAAAAAAAAGACAAGCATGGTGGTGGCAGGATGATGCTGAGAATTGAATTTCACAGGAAATGGGAGGTTATTTCATCATGAACGGGATCGAGAAGGTGATCCGTATGCTGATCATGCCGAGGAGGAACTATCCCATTGCCATGTCAAGACCAAAGTGGAAGAGCAGAGGACAGGGATACACCCAGTATGGTAAACATGTGGGGCTCACTGTGGGAAAAGTTCCATGATTTTTAAGGGGAACTCCTCAAACAGTGAATGCTGTCTTCTCCTGGCAGGTATTTCTATGCGCTGCGTTAGGGAGGAGCACTCGGCCATCAATATGAACCTTCATTATCTGGAAAACGGCACAGTGATGCTGAACTTCATCTACCAGAAGGAGCTCTTCTTCCTCCCTTTAGGCTTTGCTTTGAAGGTATCAAGCTGTTTAAATTTGTCCCATCTTTCCTAGATCTTAGTTTCCGCGTTTGACGCCTTTCTCTGTTCTGCCTACTTAGGCGCTGGTAGACTTCACAGATTTCCAGATCTACCAGGAGCTGATCAAAGGGCGTGAGGACAACTCCTTCTATAAAACCTGCGTGTCAGAAATGCTGCGCATGGTGTCAGAGGAGGGCTGCACCACCCGCAGCAAGGTGCTCGACTACCTGGGAGAGCGCTTTAGGGTAAAGCTGAACCTACCGGAGTGGTACACCAACGAACAGTGCGCCAACTTTCTCTTAAAGTAAGCACATAAATGATGATGACTTTTTCATTTTGGTGATTTAAATATCCACTTAAATCTGCTGCTGTAATAAAGAACTGCAAGGATTATGCTGTAACATTGCGGAAAATACAATTATATTGCAAAAAATCGATCATCGCAAGTAAAGTTAAGTATTTAGTTTTTCATTTTATATGGTGACATTTTTATAAAAACAGATTTAAGTGTCAGAAAATTAGAATATTGGGAGAAAGGTTGAATTTAGGAAGCTTTGCTATTAGGGCTGCATATTTTTACCAAAGTCCTGAATCGATTGATCTTGATTCAATCTGTTTTTTCCATAATGAAAGTGGTTCAAATGTGTTTCAAAATATTCATGTATTTTAGTTTTTCCTGTCACATTAAACACAAAGTGCAAACTTGTAAATCAGACAGTTTAAACATGAGATGTGAACCAAACTGTCTCAAAAGTGCAAACTTGTTTGTGAAAAGTGAAAAAGTGAAGCCTCACTCGAACAAGCAGACGTGACACGGCAGACATGCATGAGCTACATTATCTTCACTGCACAAACCATATTTGTAGCGTCGTCTGTAACAACTACAGGGTGTTTGCTGGTTGTTAATGTCTTCAGTCAAGCTATTGGCTATATTTGCAACTATCTGGTTTTGAAGTAATCTTGAGTGCATTTTTCCTGCTTATTTGAATGTGAACGTCACTATAAAATTAATCGGATCTCATTCCCTAGACATTGATTTTGCAAAAATGGAAAGGAATCGATTCAAAATCGATTAAATCGATTTTTTATTTTTTACCCAGCCATATTAGGTATTCAGACCCCAAACTGCAAAATTTACTAAAGACATCTGTAAATGTTTCCTGAGCATCTAAGCCAGCGGTCCCCAACCACCGGGCCGCGGACCGGTACTGGTCCCTCGGTCATTTGGTACAGAGCCGCACAGAAAAAAGTGTGTATGTGTATATATATATATATATATAATATATATATATATATAATATATATATATATATATATAATATAATATATATATATATATATATATATATATATATATATATATATATATATATATATATATATATACATACATTAGGGATGCACGATATAATCGGCCCCCTATCGGTATCGGCCTTAAAACTGAATATCGGACATCGGCCACCCCACCGATATTTAACCCGATATTTGATCAGCTTCTGAGTTTCTAAAGTCTAAAAAAAATACTACTTCTTCTTCCTCAAAAACGTCTTTTTTACAGACTTAAAAACTTCTAAAGATGAGGGAAAAAATATTGACACATTAAAATATCCCAATATCTTCATATGCTGATATATTGCCATTTAAAAACACCATATCAATCTCTTTTACTAATGAAATATTGCTATATGTCATCGTTATGCTGCGAAATCCCCCGAAAATTCACGGAATTTTGCCATATTTTTATATGTTGATATATTGACGCGGTATCGATCTATTTTACTAACAAAATCTCACAAGAATTTGCAAAATATCACGAGAGTTTGTAACAGAACGATGAAATTTCACGAGATTTTGAAAGTAAAATAGATTGATACAGCGTTTTTAAAAATCAATTTGATATCAGCATATGAAAATATATTTGAGTATATTATTTTTCAAAGTGTCAGAAATGGATAACAAAACTGCTATTTTGAATGACTACTTATTTTTGTCCAGCTTTAACATCGGTATCGATATCGGTTATCGGCTACATGAGTTTTAAAATATCGGCATATCGGATATCGGCCAAAATCCCAATATCGTGCATCCCAAATATATATATATATATAATTTATCAACGATCAGAGTCTGAGTGATGTTTTATTTTGAAAAATATAAAAATTGCAGTATTCTCTCCCAATTACATCAGTCGGTGCATCTGTGCCTCTTGACACAGGTTAATTCAGGTCAAGACTCATCCTATCTATAACATCCTATCTTTGTGAAGCAGGATTTTCTGCAGTTACAGCGACCAAAACAAAACTACGGAGCAGACTGGATATCAGGAGCACACTTCGTCTGTCATTGTCTCCAATTACGCCTAGATGGGAGCGGCTTGTTTTATTTTTATGCTGTTTGTATTGGATTTTATGCCAGTCGTATCATTTTATGTTTCATATTTTCTGACATATAGCGGTCCGTGGTGTAAAAAAGGTTGGGGACCGCTGCTCTAAATAATTCTTCTTGGATCAGTGGGATTTTTACTCACTTTTTTTTCTTAGCATATGCATAGAAAGTTAAGTGGAAGTAACACATGTGGTTAAAAATAGAAAAAATGCAATCAAGATGACCGTTACGCACAGATGAAAATGCATCAAAAGTGTAAAACGAGAGACTGCCTCCAAATCACCTTACTCGGGCTAAAGGGAAAATAACTAGGCTGTTGCTCTGTGCTGCAGTCTTTTTTAGATGAACATTAAGTTTGAGTTTAATTTAAATGATCAGTCTGGAGGATAAGTGTAGAGGTAGGTAATCTATTTATACTGAAGTCCAGTGAGTTTTCACGCTCAGTGATGATTGGAATCTCCATATCCTCTGCCGGTGTCGCCCCCCTGGGTTTTCTGCTGTTCACAGTCAATGCAAATGTCTACTAGGAAAGTTTAAGAGGACTTGAAGCTTCCTTCTCTAATACAGAAGATGGTTTTATCAATAAATGCAGGTATCAGAGAGATGTCCAGTATTGCGTGTTATTGCAGCATCCACAGCATTGACGTGCAGAACTTCATCATAACTCTAAATGTTTCTGACCTGACTTGTGTTTTCTGTGCAGCGAATGCATCTGCATCCACCTGAAGTCTGACATAGAAAAGTTCTACCTGCTTTGTCTCATGACCCGGAAGCTTTTCACGTATGCCAAACAGGAGTGCATGGAGGAGAATCCGGACAGCTTGATGTGCCAGGAGGTTCTCACTCCTGGTCAGCTCTACCTCATGTTTCTAAAGGCAAGTTTCAACATTTCAGCTTCATACTGGGTCCTGGTTGTTTTCCGGGTTTCTGTTAGTAGAGCAAAGCTGTCCTTCCTTGGTTCCTGTCATTCCTCTTTATGTCATCTAGAGCTGAAACCATCAGAATAATCCTGATTAATTAAATCGGAATTATTCAAATAATCCTCGAGTTGTACTAGAATAATCGTTAACTGGAGCATAGAGACTCTAAAAAGTGTGTTAAGCTGACAGAGCGATCCACTTAGAACACGTTTCTTCTGAAAAATTTTAATTTCACTTGGTCTAACTCTGTAAAAAATCTTCTTTGAGAAACCTTTTTCTATCCAATTTTTAATTGATAAAAATATTCAACAGATTCATTGATTAGTAAAATAATTATTAGTTTCAGGGTAAAGGGCTGGTTATCAGTGTGTCGCAGTGAGCTTGTTGCAGATATTTTGATTTATGCCCAATATTGAAGTGTGGTCTGCACTATTTTATTCCATGCCACAACGCAAGAGGGACAATCAGGAACTCTGTGGGTCTAGATACAGCCGAGGCTTTGAGGAAGTCGGGGCAAGTTTGTCCGACGACAGAGGGACATGAGGGCGAAAAAGAGCAGGGATCCAGGTGGAAAAAGGGTCCCAGCGTTCTCACTTGCCTCGCTCTTCTAGCCGGTCCATCTTCATGAGTCATTTTTTCCACAATGGCGGTCATACAAACAAAGGAAGCCGGTAAGGTACTGAACAGGAAATACACATAGTGTAGAGCAGATGCAGATTTAACCAATCAGAGGCCTCCTGTCTGCGACACTGTCTTTGGTCACCTACAATTTTGGAGAGGTGCAGCAGAGTGTCTGCGGAAAGGGAGGGGGCTCATTTGCGTTCACTGCGCGTTCACGCAGACGACCTGGTTTCTGAGTATAAATCAGCCATTAGTGTCATTAGTTGTCGTGTCCTTCTTCCTTTCTGGTTCATTTACACTAGCCTCTGAAAACCGATCCTTTCCGAGCTCGGTTCCTTACGACCATTTGCACATCACACTAGCACGGTTCCTCGCCTCCTAGTGACGATCTGTGGTACTACTGCTCTCTAGAGGTAAACAAGCACGATGGCGCCTGAAACATTCAGGAAGTTGGTGGTGAGAGTCAGGTGAAGAAGGCAGTGGATAAGACAAACGATAGTCTAATGAGGGCTTAGAGACGCAGGAAACGACAGACGTTGAGGTTCATCACACCGCTGAGCAGAATAATCACTGGAAATCATGTGGCACGGCAAGCTAGCTGGTATTTTTATGAATGTCTGAAATCTATCTGAAGTTTTTAATTGGTTATGCAGGCTGTAAATGGTAAAATGTAATTTAAGTGAGGCTAATCTTGTTTCTTTCATTTGGTCTGCTTTAAATTGACCACAGTTAAATAAAGCACAGATTCCCATAGTAGTTTTCATTTATTTCCAGGACAGTCCTGCCCTAGTCAGGAAATTTAAAACAGTTTCTTCATTTCCTCCATCCTCTCCTTTCTGCATATTTCCTCTTTGTTTCTTTTTTAACCCATTTTATTTTTTATATTCCTTGTCCCAGTCCTTCTGTGCTCCCCTCCTTTCTTCTGTCCATGCTTCTCAGCTTTTATTTATGGTCGATCACCTTGGAAATATTGCCCATACATTGAAAATTAACATTTGAAAATGCTGAGAAATGGCTAAAAAAAAAAAAAAAAAATCTTTATCAAGCATTAATGACATGGTGAAGTATTGTTTTGGTCTTCCTGATGCAAAGATTCCTCCTAAAGTCTCCACTGATACGTTCACAGGAAAAACTGACGGCGTGGCTGGTGTCCGTAAAGCTGGGCTTCGACAAACGAGGGTCTAAACTGGGCAATGGATGGAGCACTGAGAACGTGATGAAGATGTTAAACATGGGATCAGATCTGACCAAACCTTTTGAATATCTACTGGCCACTGGGAACCTCCACTCCAAGACAGGTGCGAGAAAAAGGACCACAGAGATGTTAACAAGGAGGTGCAAAAACCTTCATTCGTTTTAACACTATGAACAAATAGAACAAAAACTAGTGTTGCACCGATACAGGTATCAGGCGGGGCCGATACTGAACAGCCAGGTATCAGGGCCAAAAAATGGCATCGGTGCAACACTAGTTCAAACCTTTGATAAAATGTGCCAAATTACAAAAAAATGAAACATAATTCATTGATCTTTGGCTTTGAACAATAGCCAAACCTTGTTTGTTTTCATCTTGTTTAATCTCTGATTCTTCTATCTTTTATAGATATGCTTTCTTTCTGTGTTTATAGTTTGCAGATATGAGCCAAACTTTTCCAGCTTTTGTTGTTTTTAAGGGTTTTGTAAATAAAGTTGGAATGTTAATAAAAAAATGTTAAAGTCAAATGTTGTAGTGAACAAAAGAACACTAGAATCGTCTTCTTTTAGCACCTCAATGATAAATCTAATTAGGAAATGGTGTGTTTTTAGGGAAGGGATGTGTAAATTGTTGTGGATAATTGAAGGGAGCCTTGCATTAAATACCGTAATTTTCTGACTATAAGCCGCACCTGAATATAAACTGCAGAAGCTAAATTGCATGATTTGTACATATACAAGCCGCAGGTTTTTGATGTTTTATGTCTGTTTTTCTCACTGTCGTTTACGGAAGAGGATTAGGGCCACTGGAAAAAAAAAAGTTAACTGATTTTTTAATTTTATTTCAGTTTAGTTTGGGGAAAAAAGTCAGAATTCTGACTTTAATCTCAGAATTCTGGCTTTTTCTCCAGAATTTTGGATCTTAATGTAGATGGGCACCATGAAGGAAGAGATGTGGAGCACTCAGCTTCACTGACAAAGATGTGAGTTGTTTGAGAGGGCCAGTAACACATTGGTGGAAAATGACGGAATTAGGCAACTTTTTACGTGCCCGAGGGGTCCCCTCATTAATGGAGGAGCAGAAGGTCATTAAAACAACAGAGCTAGTCTCTAAAACAGACATGGCTATGGCTTGATGCTAACATGTTTGTAGCCCGCGGCTACCGTACTTGTGTGTTGAAGCAAATGTGATGTCAAGATGGTGGATGGTAAAATCTATAGATTTAGGTATTACCCTAGCGGCCGTTAGCTGTAAAAGTCCATAGATAGGCCGCATCGTTATATAAGCCGCAAGGTCGAAAAATGGGGAAAAAGTCGCGGCTTATAGTCCAAAAATTACGGTACAATTATTTGTTTAAGATTATTAAAAACATTATAATAGGAGGTAAGGTCTGGTGTTCACTTCTTCCATAAACTTTTATTTTGAAAACATGAAATTTGGAAGAGACGAAGGCGTTCACCCATTTGGAACGGAGGTCGTTGGCTTATTTTTTTAGAACGCAATGCGTCATACCATCTAAGTGTCTGAAAGGTCGGTGGTTAAATGGGTGCAGCCATTCGTTCCAATTTGCGTGTTTTCAAAATAAAAACAACTTTGTTGGGCTACTGTATAAAACCTCGAACTCTACGCCATTCCTGACCTTTTGAATTGAAAACCCGTCCTGGATGGGAAGCGAAACGTCTTCAAACTTGGAGACAAAGTCCAGTGGATTGTTTTTAATTTTCTTTTTTTATATTTTTTTTTGGAATGACTATGACCTGGATGACTGAGAACCTTCACCGGTATATTAAAACAGAAAATGGATTATAGAGGTGTTTATTTAAAGATGGCGTTCTGTTGACTGCAAACCCCTTTTCCTCCTCGCAGGTCTCGGCATGCTGCAGAACACGGGCCTCTGTGTGGTCGCTGACAAACTCAACTTCATCCGCTACCTGTCCCACTTCCGCTGCGTCCACAGAGGAGCGGCGTTCGCCAGGATGAGAACCACGTCTGTCAGGAAGCTGCTGCCGGAGTCCTGGGGTTTCCTCTGTCCCGTCCACACTCCGGACGGAGAGCCCTGTGGACTGATGAATCACATGACTGCCAGCTGTGAGATCGTCGCTGCCACCTCGTACACTACATCCCTGCCGGCTCTGCTGTGCTCCCTCGGTGAGAATGAGTTTAGGTCCGCTGTCTATCGTCCTCCAGATCTTTGGTTTCAGCAGCCTCTCTCCCTGCTGTTTAAGGTGTGACGCCGGTGGACGGGTCTCCCGGTCGAGCCTTTTCAGACTGCTACCCCGTGGTTCTGGACGGAGCTGTTGTGGGCTGGGTGGAAGCCGAGTTAGCTCAGGCCGTCGTCGACTCGCTGCGCAGGTTTAAGGTGCATGAACTGCCTGATTGCATCACGTCTCGTCTGTCCTATTATCATGTGAGCTTCATATTTAAACCTACCTTCAGGTGCTGGGTCAGAAGAAGGTCCCCCCCTGGACTGAGATTGTCCTGGTTCCTAAGACGGGAAAGGCCAGCTTATATCCAGGCCTGTTTCTCTTCTCGACGCCGTGTCGTATGATGCGACCTGTGCAGAATTTAGCTCTTGGGAAGCAAGAGCTGATCGGGACCTTTGAACAGGTATGATTTTAAAAAGTAAGACACCATTGAATCATTAAAACATCCACAGCCTGAACTTGTTATTCTGACAGTGAAGAATAGGAGTGGCAGCATGATGCTGTGGGGATGCAGAACCGGGGAGGCTGTTTATGGCAAGATGAAAGGGGAACAATTATGTTAGAAAGACTGAAGCTGCTAACCTGAAAACGGACTGAAATGAAGAATCAGTTTTCATCAGGACCAGCCAGAGATGAATGAGATGGTTTATACGCCAGCTAGAGATGTCCCGATCCAGGTTTTTGCACTTCCGATCCGATACCGATACTGGCCGATACCAGCCTATGCGAGCATGTATTTAAGTTTAAGTTAAAGTATTTAGCCTTAGTTGTAAGACTCATGTTGAAAAGGGTTTTAGTACTCTTGATAACATCTAGCCAGCTGAATTACAGGTGCTGGTCATAAAATTAGAATATCATGAAAAAGTAGATTGATTTCAGTAATTCCATTTAAAAAGTGAAACTTGTATATTATATTCATACATTACATACAAACTCATATATTTCAGATGTTTATTTTGTTTAATTTGGATGATTACAAATGACAACAAATGAAAATCTCAAATTCATCATATCAGAAAATTAGAATATTACTGAAGACCAATAAAAACAAAGGATTTATAGAAATGTTGGCCAACTGAAAAGTATGAACATGAAAAGTATGAGCATGTACAGCACTCAGTATTTAGTTGGGCCTCCTTTGGCCTGTATTACTGCAGCAATGCGGCGTGGCATGGAGTCGATCAGTCTGTGGCACTGCTCAGGTGTTATGATAGCCCAGGTTGCTCTAATAGTGGCTTTTAGCTCTTCTGAATTGTTGGGTCTGGTGTATTGCATCTTCTTCTTCACAATACCCCATAGATTTTCTATGGGGTTAAGGTCAGGAGAGTTTGCTGGCCAATTAAGAACAGGGATACCATGGTCCTTCAACCAGGTACTGGTAGCTTTGGCACTGTGTGCAGGTGCCAAGTCCTGTTGGAAAATGAAATCTGCATCTCCAAAAAGTTGGTCAGCTGCAGGAAGCATGAAGTGCTCTAAAACTTCCTGGTATGTGGCTGCGTTGACCCTGGACCTCAGAAAACACAATGGACCAACACCAGCAGATGACATGGCACCCCAAACCATCACTGACTGTGGAAACTTTACACTGGACTTCAAGCAACGTGGATGAAGTGCCTCTCTTCTTTTCCTCCAGACTCTGGGACCTTGATTTCCAAAGGAAATGCAAAATTTACTTTCATCAGAGAACATGACTTTGGACCACTCACCAGCAGTCCAGTCCTGTTTCTCTTTAGCCCAGGCAAGACGCTTCTGACGCTGTCTGTGGTTCAAGAGTGGCTTGACACAAGGAATGCGACAGCAGAAACCCATGTCTTTCATACGTCTGTGTGTGGTGGTTCTTGAAGCACTCACTCCAGCTGCAGTCCACTCTTTGTGAATCTCCCCCACATTTTTGAAGGGGTTTTGTTTCACAATCCTCTCCAGGGTGCGGTTATCTCTCTTGCTTGTACACTTTTTTCGACCACATCTTTTCCTTCCCTTCGCCTCTCTATTAATGTGCTTGGACACTGAGCTCTGTGAACAGCCAGCCTCTTTAGCGATGACCTTTTGTGTCTTGCCCTCCTTGTGCAAGGTGTCGATGGTCGTCTTTTGGACAACTGTCAAGTCAGCAGTCTTCCCCATGATTGTGTAGCCTATAGAACTAGACTGAAAGACCATTTAAAGGCTTTTGCAGGTGGTTTGAGTTAATTAGCTGATTAGAGTGTGGCACCAGGGGCCATCAATTTTGAACCTTTTCACAATATTCTAATTTTCTGATATGATGAATTTGAGATTTTCATTTGTTGTCATTTGTAATCATCAAAATTAAACAAAATAAACATCTGAAATATATGAGTTTGTATGTAATGTATGAATATAATATACAAGTTTCACTTTTTAAATGGAATTACTGAAATCAATCTACTTTTTCATGATATTCTAATTTTATGACCAGCACCTGTAGGTGAGATTGAATACAACACAATGATTGGTAACAACAAACTTACCTGTTTATTAAGAGATAAACACAAACTGGACAAAATTATGAATAGCAATCTAATATTGCACAGTGAGCAGTAAAACCGTAAACAGTTAAAGGTGCTATATTACTGTAAGTTTTAATAAAAATGCAAAACAGACAAGAGTGGAAAATAGTCTATTAACTTAGAATCAGGACTCTATCTTGAAAAAAGACACTGCTTAAAAAAAAATCTGTGCAAATAATAGTTACACAAAAATGCCTTATACTCCCCAATGTCCTCCACACCTAGTCTCCATCTACACATCGTGCAGGATAAAATAATCCCACACGGCTGACATTTTCCCCGCTATCTTCCAATTCACCTGTTTTAATGGTTATGCCGGGAGACAGACCCAAAAAGACCTGTGGGTGTGTTGAAGGTGTTCTGGAAAATACGGACCGGATTTGGGGAACACTGGCGCAAAATAGTGGAATGGATTTGTTTCAATCGGCGAAACTGGAAAATACGGACCGGATAAAAAAAAAAAAAACTGGATCGGCAGTCTGGATCGGCATTTTTACATGCTTTGCCGATACGCATTTTTTTGCCAATATCGGCGTCCGATCCGATACGTGGATCAGATCAGGACAAGCCTAACGCCAGCTTATTCATCTGTTAGAATGGCCCAAAGTCCTGCACTGCAGACAACGCTTTGATTTATAGATACATGGAAGATAAGCAACCGCTGTTACTGACGAAGCTTTGCAAATATAAAGATCTATAGATGTTGGGGCGCTGCCAGCAGCGCTGAATGTGACGAGGAGGATTTGCCTGCGCTGTCACAGATGGAAGTGGATGCGGTTACAGCAGATGCAGAAAATACCGTATTTTCACGACCATAAGGCGCACCGTACTAAAAGGCGCACTCTCAGTTATGTGTCCCATTTCTGTATTTAACACACACATAAGGCGCACCGGACTATAGGGCGCGTTTTTTATATACAGGTACATGTCCTCTACTACCTTTAAATACCTCTACTCCGTATTTAAAAATACAGCGGGGGCAAAACTGAGTATGACTGTGCTTTATTCATGTATTTATTACGAAGTATTAATCAAACCTGGGAGCTGGCCGTGAGACAGACACATCGCAGATGACAGAACTGTGATCACTCCTAAATTAACTTAAAATCCTGAAACCTGCCGACGGAATTTGTTTGCTTTTATTACCGGTATCCTGGTGCCTGCAGTTAAAATTATTTAGATGAAAAACACCTGCCAGCAGCCGCGGTGAACCTGGAGGCTACCCTGCTTAGAGGCTGCTGTTGAAGGGATTTCTGCTGTCGGTGCACCGCTGGTATGTGGGGCTCTGAGCGCCTCCGACAGAAATAGATAATCTGGATGAACTGACTGCAATTATTAAGTTTTCAGGTGGACTTTCTCACTTAAAAACATTAAAACTACTTTATTCCCACTGATCACAGCAAACATAGCTGCAAGATTTAGATTATTTAGATGAAAAAACACCTGCCAGCCGCCGCGGTGAAGAGGAGGAGACGCGCCCAGAGGCTGCTGTTGAATTAAGTTTTCAGGTAGAAAAATAGAGCGGGAGCAAAACTGAGTATGATTGTGCTTTATTCATGTATTTATTACAAAGTATTAATCAAACCCATAAAAGTCATCATCCTCTGTTTCTGAATTAAACAGCTGCGCTAAATCAGACATGCCAGTTTCCCCTTCTGCGCTGTCAGTCACTTTCCGTGCAGCGCGGCTCCTCAGAAATAATGCCGGCTTTTGCGAAAGCTTGAACAGCAGAGCCAGCAGACACGTTAGTCCATCTACAATCCATCCGCAAACGGTGGCGTAACTTGCCCGGCGCTGCCTTCCACTTATCCTGAAACTGTGGTCTCCGTCTGTCATCCATCACTCCCGTGCCGCTCGCAGCCTTACTTTGAACGGCCGCTTCACACCGATGTCGAGCGGTTGAAGCTCCTTTGTCAGACCCCCGGGATAACGGCGAGCACAGCATCCATTTTATTCACCATGTTTTTCTCATCAGCTGTGAGATGGGCACACATGGAGTCACAGATTAACTGCGATGGTGATGCGTGGAAAAAAACACCTGGTCTCCTCACATACACCTGCCTCAGCCACGCTTTCATCATCTCCTCATCCATCCAGCCCTTTTCTTTGCGTTAATATCATATGTCATCAGAGCGCTATGTCTGTCTCGCTGTCAGCTTCCAGATCAGCTTCTCTGATTGGTTGATGCGGCGCGTCCAGCAGCAAAACTTCAATTTTTCCATCTCGAGCAGCAGCAGCGCGTTGGCGGTGCGTCAGATGCTTAAAGGCTGCGGGACCTTTTGCTGCACCTATACGCGCGTCAACCATTGACTTTGCATGTAAACTCGCTGCTTCTGCTGCACCTGCTGGGTCCGGTTCACACCGATGTCGAGCGGTTGAACAGCGAGCACAGGGTTAATTTGTTTCCCCATGTTTTTCACATCAGCTGTGAGATGGGCATGCATGGAGTCACATATTAACAGCGATGGTGATGAGTGGAAAAAAAAAAACACCTGGTCTCCTTACATTCAGCCACTCTTTCCTCATCTCCTCAATGGGGTGGTCTCAAAGGTCGCAGTTACAACACACATAGGGCGCACCGCACATTTTGAGGGAAAAAAAAGATGTTTAAGTGCGCCTTATAGTCGTGAAAATACGGTATGATAAAAACCTCACTGCATCAAGTTTACATTTGAGATTTCCTATCCATCTGCTTCAGCTGGCGATAAGATCTCAAGACGAGGATAGCATATTGTGTGATTAAAAAAGGGGATAAAATATCCTAAAAACATGCGCTAACTATATTTAATAGAGTGTGTTTACATAAAGTGATCTTTGTGATGAGAGCCTGTTTTTGAAAATGGATCGCATACATGCATTATACACTATCTCATTTGCAATGGGATGCGAAGTGACCTTTTTTAATGTAGTCTAAGAAAAATCAATAATTAGATAGGAACAGGGGCAACATGAATGGAGCGAGGTGTTACGTTCACAGCTAGGTAGGGCTGGGTATTGTTCAAAATGTTTCGGTTCCGGTACCAATACCGATACCTTCACTTCGATACCGGTTCCTGAACGGGTTTTATAATATCAATTCGAAGAAAAAGAAAATTACACAACATAATAAAGTACAAATCTTGAGTTTTATTTTAAGCTCTGATTTTTCCATTTCAATTTTTCCTCTTATATAAAAAAAAAATCAATGTCTAATATTCACTGTTACATTGTGAGGACCTTTTTACTTAGCAGTTTTTCTTTAGAAAAATTAACATGTCTGCTTTCTCAGGAGACAAACAAGCCCGTTGAATGGGATCCTACTGACAGCGCACCGCTGGTATGTGGGGGTCTGAGTGGCTCCGACAGAGATAATATTGGAAGGCAGGATGGTAATCTGGATGAACTGACTGCACTGATTAAGTTTTCAGGTGGATTTTCCCACTTAAAAACATAATAAAACTACTTTATTCCCACTGATCACAGCAAATATACACTATATTGCCAAAAGTATTTGCTCACCCATCCAAATTATTGGAATCAGGTGTTCCAATCACTTCCATGGCCACAGGTGTATAAATTCAAGCACCTAGGCATGCAGACTGTTTTTACAAACATTTGTGAAAGAATGGGTCGCTCTCAGGAGCTCAGTGAATTCCAGCGTGGAACTGTGATAGGATGCCACCTGTGCAACAAATCCAGTCGTGAAATTTCCTCGCTCCTAAATATTCCACAGTCAACTGTCAGCTGTATTATAAGAAAATGGAAGTGTTTGGGAACGACAGCAACTCAGCCACGAAGAGGTAGGCCACGTAAACTGACGGAGCGGGGTCAGCGGATGCTGACGCGCATAGTGCGAAGAGGTCGCCAACTTTCTGCAGAGTCAATCACTACAGACCTCCAAACTTCATGTGGCCTTCAGATTAGCTCAAGAACAGTGCGCAGAGAGCTTCATGGAATGGGTTTCCATGGTCGAGCAGCTGCATCCAAGCCATACATCACCAAGTGCAATGCAAAGCGTCGGATGCGGTGGTGTAAAGCACGCCGCCACTGGACTCTAGAGCAGTGGAGACGCGTTCTCTGGAGTGACGAATCGCGCTTCTCCATCTGGCAATCTGATGGACGGGTCTGGGTTTGGCGGTTGCCAGGAGAACGGTACTTGTCTGACTGCATTGTGCCAAGTGTAAAGTTTGGTGGAGGGGGGATTATGGTGTGAGGTTGTTTTTCAGGAGCTGGGCTTGGCCCCTTAGTTCCAGTGAAAGGAACTCTGAATGCTTCAGCATACCAAGACATTTTGGACAATTCCATGCTCCCAACTTTGTGGGAACAGTTTGGAGCTGGCCCCTTCCTCTTCCAACATGACTGTGCACCAGTGCACAAAGCAAGGTCCATAAAGACATGGATGACAGAGTCTGGTGTGGATGAACTTGACTGGCCTGCACAGAGTCCTGACCTCAACCCGATAGAACACCTTTGGGATGAATTAGAGCGGAGACTGAGAGCCAGGCCTTCTCGTCCAACATCAGTGTGCGACCTCACAAATGCGCTTCTGGAAGAATGGTCAAAGATTCCCATAAACACACTCCTAAACCTTGTGGACAGCCTTCCCAGAAGAGTTGAAGCTGTTCTAGCTGCAAAGGGTGGACCGACGTCATATTGAACCCTATGGATTAGGAACGGGATGTCACTTAAGCTCATATGTGAGTCAAGGCAGGTGAGCAAATACTTTTGGCAATATAGTGTAGCTGCAAGGCAAACAAAGGATAGAGTAGCTCCGCCCAACGCGCAGCCAGAGCAGCAAAGCTGCTTCAGCGGCGCGTCAGAAGCTGGTACAAGCAGCAAAAAGGAACGTGATTTTGCTGCTCCTGCTGCGTCAGGTTTAAAAGCAACATGATTCACTCCGCTCTGGCTTTGCTCTGCCCACGGGCTGCTGAGAGGAGGATGGTTGCGCCGGCTGCAGTCCGCTCTTCTTGCAGTCAAACACCGAGCAACTTTCTGCTCTTAAATTGTTTCCGTGCACGATGTATTGCATTGCGCACTATTGGCATCAGTGTTAATAAAGTGAAGCCGCACTTTTGACCTGGGGGGCATTTTAAAGGGGTTCCATGACGCTCGCAACCAGTTCACAACAGATACACATGAACCCTGGCTGTAGGCGTGACCACCTATGGATTTTTCCTGGATGACGCAATCACGTTAAGTGTTACAGCCAATCACCGGAACTTGGTACCGAAAGACGAGGCATGTTTCGATACTCTGTAGAACCGAAGCATTTCGGTCGGTACCATAAAAGAACCGAAGTTCGGTACCCAGCCCTATACCCAACCCTTCAGACATTTGATTTAAAGCATCTTCTAGAAGCTTAGAGAGCTGCAGCTGAAGGGGTTCACGGTTTGTCGAGGGGGCTGTTTACAACAGTGCTAGTTTAAAAGGGGCCTATAGGGAGGACTATTGTTTCTGGGAAACTGTCAACGACTTCAGTCTCTAGATGGGAAAAGTTTTTAGAGACGTATCGCAAAAGACCTGTTAATTTAATTTTTCTTTAAAAACTTCATCATTTTACTCTAAATAAGGCACTGCTTTTAGCTGGTCTATATCCTAAAACCTCAAATAAATCACCCTTTAAGTTGTCATGATAGTAACAAAACAAAGCTGCGCATTTAGCTGCTGTTCTCCCATGATGCAACACTGAATACAATGTGGATCAGAACTAGGGCTGCAACCACGAATCGATAAAATCGATAACAATCGACTTTTAAAAGCGTTGGCAACGAATTTCATCATCGATTAGTTGTGTCGCGCGATTAATGCGTCATCCGCCGCCGCCGTCATCACTGCGGGGGAAGAAGAAAAAATTACGGCAGAGCGAGCCAGCGCTGCAGGTGCGCAGTGTTGCCAACTCAGCGACTTTCTCGCTATATTTAGCGACTTTTCAGACCCCTCCAGCGACTATTTAAAAAAAAAATACAGAAATGACACACATAACTGAGACTGCGCCTTTTAGTACGGTGCGCCTTATGGTCGTGAAAATACGGTATGTATAAATGTTTCATCGCTCACTTTCAGCTGCTACAAACAGCTAGCAGGTAGCAGGAAATGACAGATATCACTGCCATCAATCTGATGATAGCGAGTAAACACTCCAACCACCCGCCTAACATGTAGCCACCGTGGCCTGTGGGTGGAGCTACGCTGCTTTGAAACCTCCAGAAGTCATTTTAAAGTTGTAGGGAAAACATATATAAATTTCAAACGATGTTGTCCCAAAATTTGAAAATTTCTATTTAAAAAAAAAATCCTATCTTAAAACCTGTCTTTCATTTTCGTTCTTCTGCAGGCCAGTTAGTTCTACATCAGCCTGAACACCTAAATTCGGCCAATCATATATCAACGGTCATCTGTCAATCAAATTTTTTCGGTCATAGCATCTTGATTCATATGTTGCAGCTAATATACGCAACGGTTAAAATCAGAATCATTTTCTTTCCCATTGAGTTCCGTCCCAGTGTTCACGGGGATGGACGTCTGTGTCTTCGGCAGGCGTAGAGCTAACAGAACTGGCAGCGTTGCGAGACAAGGGCTCAAACATGTACGGCTGGAAGCCTTCTACACCAAACCAAGCTTCTGCCGCCCTGGCGTCCTCTTCCACAACATCTTCCTCCCCGCTTTCCTCCTCTAAATAAAAAATGGATGACGGAGGAGACTCATCCACGACCTCCGACACTAAACTCTCCTCCTCTTGCATGTTTCCTCTGTTCATAGCGTTCCTTGACAGCGTCGTTTCTAAGTCAACAATTTAGTGCTACTTGGTCCTAATGGAATTTCCCATTGGGAACCTGCTAGCACTAAGTTGCTAACTGGTTAGCAAGATGCTTCAGAGACACCGGCCACGACCAAACTTGCTTGCAAACCTTCTGCAACAACAGTCCCGCCCCCTCTTGATAATCGACCAATCACATTCACTTTATTCACTCGTGTAAAGTCGTGCACCACTCAATACAATTTATAATTTGAATCACAGGGCTATTTTTATCTATGGTTCAGTATTTTCTCAAGTAGCAACTTTAACTGCTATACTTTCCTGTCTTAAAAGGCAGAACTCTTCTAGTCTAAAAAAACCTCATTTGTTGAAATGGGGGGGCCTATTGTTTGAACCCCTTAGGGGCTTTTAAAAACAAAAATGTCTTTCTGTGCACTTTATGAAACAAAGTAGCCTATATTTTGTGGATGTACAGCTACATTTCTCATGTAAGTTTGCGTAGTTTTAACACAAACATTTATTTTTCATATTGCACCAGTACAGTTAATGAGCAACCTGTACTTGTGTGCTTGTTTGTTCTGCCTAAAATGTTTATTTTGGAATAAAGAGGTTAGTATAAAAAATATTTTTTGTCCGATTCATCGATTAATCGAAAAAATAATCGGCCGATTCATCGATTTTTAAAATAATCGTTAGTTGCAGCCCTAATCAGAACCATCAGAGGATCAGATCAGATGATTTTGAGATCTGTGTTTAGCAGAACCGGCAGCAACTTCCTCTCCTTGTTGACCACAGCTCTACATCAATGTGGGGATCCTGGAGGGGGAGATAGAGGCAGGTGTTACTACGCACCAGGAGCTGTTTCCTCACAGCATGCTCAGTGTGGTGGCCAACTTCATCCCTTACTCAGACCACAACCAGAGTCCCAGGAACATGTACCAGTGTCAGATGGGTAAGGCAGGGCTCGCCTCTGCAGGCGAAGCATGATGGAGAATATTTAAATGTAGTTTATAGTAAAACATTAAGCCTTAAAGATGTGAAACATGATATATTGATTTTACTTTTAGGTAAGCAGACTATGGGTTTCCCGCTGCACTCCTACATGGATCGCTCCGATAACAAACTTTACCGGCTGCAGACTCCACAGAGCGCTCTGGTCAGGCCCTACATGTACGACCATTACAGCCTGGACAACTACCCCAGCGGCACCAACGCCATCGTGGCCGTCATATCCTACACGGGCTACGACATGGAAGACGCCATGGTAAATGAGATCAAACCGCCTTGTGTTTGTACGTCGATTTTAGGGAAGGACTGCTGACGATTTTTGGTCTCATCAGATCGTCAACAAGTCGTCCTGGGAGAGGGGCTTTGCTCACGGGAGCATCTACAAGACGGAGTTGGTGGACCTGGGGGAGAAGGTGAGGGGAGACGACAGCATCGTGTTCGGGACCAAGCCAGGCGACCCGAAGGTGAATGAGAAGCTGGATGCTGATGGGCTGCCTCACATCGGATCTGTGCTTCAGTACGGAGACCCCTACTACTGCTACATCAGCCTGAACACAGGCCAAAGCTTCGTCACCTTCTACAAGTAAACCTTTTTTTCTAACTTCCAGGACCTTACATTAAATACTTAGGCCTTTAAGTGGCTTTGTTGGGATTTAATGTTGTAAACCAACAAAAAAGAGGCAGATAGACCTGAGATGGGAGAAAAGTAACTTTTTTTTTTTTAAGTGTAATGTTTGGAAGCAGCCCCACTTTATTCTAACACCCCAAAATAAAACCCATGGAAACTAAAGCTGCTCAGTTAGTTAACACACCGTGGCTCAGAAGTGTATTTTAATACGGTCAAGGACAACGGTTCCTTCTGTCCTTGATTTTATTTTATTCATCCAAGGTCATAGAAATTATTCGAAATCCAAATTTTTACTATGCAAGACTTATAGAAGTATAAAAACCAATAAATACTCTAAGGTTTGACATTTACACTACCTTTTTAAAACTGGCAAGATCTGTCTGGGCATATTAACCAAGATAACTGTAGAGTGTAAATGACACGCAGAAGTCAACCAAACCGCGCTAACATGGTACTAGTTGATCAGTAGGTTCTCGGATAACAAAGAGTGCATGAACGTCATCTTACAGTCAGCCTCCGTAATCATTATAGTTTAGACCTTCATAAAATACGAGCTTCCCTATCGCGCGATCGACACGATTTCCAGTGACGATTCTGCTTAGCAATGTGGTGAACCTCGGCGTCTGTCATTTCCTGCGTCTCTAAGCCCTGATTATATTATCGTTTGTCGTATCACTTCCCCAAAGCCTGTCAAGTAAATTCACCATAAGCTTCCTTCTTCACCTGACTCTAGCAAACTTCCTGATTGTTATGGTGCCGCCATGTTGATTCGCCTGTTTACCTCTAGAGACCAGTAGTACCGTGGGAACTGTGCTAGCGCCAGAGGTGTAAAGTAGCAAAGTACAAATACTTTGTTACTGTACTTAACACTTTTAAGGTATCTATTAGGGTTGTCAAAAGTATCGATACTCAAAAAAGTGTCGATACTGAAACGTTGTATCCGGATACAATACTCATTTTCAAAAGTATCGATACAGTGCTACCACCAGTGGCACCTAAAGTCATTCATCTAAAGTGCAGAATAGAGGACGATGCACTTTCTGAACACTGTGTGATTGAATAATTCTACGCACTTTTCAGTTTCACACTTTTTTTTTTGTAACAGTTGCAGCTGCTGAGAATTATTTTTGTTTTTTAACCGGTTTGGCTAGCGTCATTGTTATGTGTGCAAAGCATAGCCAAGGAAGGAACACTTAATTTTAATTTTATAAGTTTTTATCAAGCTTGCTTAATATTGAGCACAGCGTACAACATCAAAATATTGTTCTTATTGTATTTATTTATTGTATTTTATTTATTAATGAAAATATTTCTGTTGAATTTTGGAGTCTTTATTTTTATCGTTGTGGTATCGAAAATGGTATCGAGTATTTTCCTTAGTATCGGTATCGAGTTGAAAAGTGTAGTATCGTGACAACCCTAGTAATTTCTGATTTCTGTGTCTGTAGGAACCAAGAGGCTTGTGTGGTCGACAACATCAAGATCTGCAGCAACGACACGGGCTCAGGTCGTTTTAAACGCGTCTGCATCACCGTACGAGTGCCGCGAAACCCCACCATCGGCGACAAGTTTGCCAGCCGCCACGGCCAGAAGGGCATCCTGAGCCGTCTGTGGCCGGCGGAGGACATGCCCTTCACAGAGAGCGGCATGACCCCGGACATCCTGTTCAACCCGCACGGCTTCCCCTCCCGCATGACCATCGGGATGCTGATCGAGAGCATGGCCGGAAAGTCCGCCGCCCTGCACGGCCTGAGCCACGACGCCACGCCCTTCACCTTCTCCGAGGAGAACTCTGCGCTGGATTACTTCGGGGAGTTGCTCCGAGCGGGCGGCTACAATTACTACGGCACGGAGAGGCTCTACAGCGGACTGAGCGGCCAGGAGCTGGAGGCGGACATCTTCATCGGCGTCGTCTACTATCAGCGGCTGCGTCACATGGTCTCGGACAAATTCCAGGTGAGGACCACGGGAGCGCGGGATAAGGTGACCAACCAGCCGGTCGGAGGAAGGAACATCCAGGGAGGCATTCGTTTCGGGGAGATGGAGCGAGACGCCCTGCTGGCCCACGGCTCCTCCTTCCTGCTCCAGGACCGCCTGTTTAACTGCTCGGACCGCTCGGTCGCTCAGGTGTGCGTCGACTGCGGCAGCCTCATTTCCCCGCTTCTGGAGAAGCCCCCGCCCTCCTGGTCGGCCATGCGCCACCGGGAGACGGTCTGCACCCTGTGCGGGAAGAGCGACTCCATTGACTCCGTTTCTGTCCCGTACGTTTTCCGTTACTTCGTGGCTGAGCTGGCAGCCATGAACATCAAAGTCAAACTGGACGTTAAGTGAAACTTCCTGGAGGAAACGGAAAAACTTTGTGCCTTAAAATTTCTCTGTCATTTATGGTCATCATCAGGGTTAAACGCTCTGACTGTTCAAAGCTGATCAGCTGTAGCAGTTTTGTTTTAGAGGCTGATTCAAAATAATGTAAAAATGATCAGTGGAGATTTCTGGAAAAATGTTTGACTTTAACCCTTTCAGCTCCAGGATCAAATCATTATTCAATAAACTAATAGATTTTTCAACACTTTTCCTCAATTAATGACCTTAAACAATCTTTAAATGTAAAATAAACATCACTAGCATTGGAGAAAACAGCTAAGAAGATTCAAACTAGTGCAACTTTTACAACATTTTATTTTTCTTAGATCTAACAAATCGATGTGATGTTAACTAGAATGAGGTGGATTTAGAAACGGTTGTTTGCTAAAGCTTTATATCCACTGATGCCGATTATTTCGACAGAGGTCTAACAGATGACGGATATACTCTATTTTCGACGCCAAAATACATTTTCTGTCCCACCATTTATATGAAGAAATGACACCATGATAACAAATGTATCACTAATCTCAATTAAACAAAATTCAATTCAGTTTATTTCTATGGCACCAATTCACAACACGTCATCTCAAGGCACTTTACAATTCACCAGATCATCCAGTCAGATTGATTCAAAGTTTTCTATCTAAGGAAAACCAGTTGATTGTATCGACTCATTGACTCAAATACAATCCCTCACACTAAGCATGCTTGTAGCGACAGTAGAGAGGAAAAACTCCCTTTTAACAGGAAGAAACCTCCAGCAGAACCAGGCTCAGTGTGAGCGGCCATCTGCCGAGGCCGACTGGGGTTCAAGGAGACAGAAGCAGAGACACAAAAAGCAGCTGTAAAAGGCGGCCCCGTCCAGGAAACACACAGCCAGGCAGACGAGCTCCAAGGCAGCTCCCATGTAGAGGATGAAGAGAGCACATCCAGCCAGTCTCGGTCAGAAAAACAGGACTAAACTGGAAAACAGGCCGATCTCCAGCATCTATAAAAAAGGGTGTTGATGGAAGCAGCATAGCTGATATTTCTCTCCAGGATGGAGTCACAGCCAAACAGGAACAGACGAGGCAAAGCTACTATGAGAAAAAGCAGAGAGAGCAGAACATTAGAGATTGAACTAACAGATTCTACAGAGTGGGAGAATAGAGATAGAATGATGAAATGGGGGTCCCTATGTCCTCCAGCAGTCTAAGCCTATAGCAGCATAACTATAGAGATAGCACAGGATAACCTGAGCCACTTTAACTATAAGCTTTATCAAAAAGGAAAGTTTTAAGCCTAGCCTTAAAAGTAGACAGGGTGTCTGCCTCACGGACTAAAACTGGTAGTTGGTTCCGCTGGAGAGGAGCCTGATAACTAAAAGATCTGCCTCCCATTCTACTTTTAGAAATTCTAGGAACCACTAGTAAACCTGCAGATTTAGAGCAAAGTGCTCTGTTAGGAACATAAGGAACAATCATCACAAAACGCCATTTATTAACAAACCAAACAGAATGCTCTCAGGGTCTGGCTGCTTAATGCACCAACGAATCGGCCAGAACGTAAATGGATCAGCTGATGATGATACAAGGAAGAGACGCTAATATTGGCCCAAAAAAGTTTTTTTTTCATATGCTAACAGTAAGTTATATCGTTTGAACAAGTTTGCAAAAAATAAAAATGACTGTGGAAGAAAATGTTTAGACTTATGTATTTTTCTCAAAACAAAGATTTTACTCTCATCCTGACCCCAAAGAAGAGACCATTGTGCTGCTACGTGTTTTAAAAAGGTGATCCATATAAAATAACTTTAACAAAATCAATTTAGTTGTTTCTGCATTTCTTATGATGATAACCCAAAGATCTGGACTTGTTCTACAGTTTACACAGTAAAAATTGCTTTTTTTCTTCTCAAATATTGCTGTATAGCCCTGTGCCCCATGCTGACTGCAATGAAAAGGCTACTATAATGTGCTTCATTATCATACAGCACCATGACACACATCTGTCACAGGTTTTGCCTGCAGGAATCTCCATTAGAGCCTTTAATCAAGAACTGCAGGTTAATTTTTCTACAGGGAGCCATCTCCAAAAGTTTTTGTTTCAGGCTGTATGTAAGCACCCTAATCCCTGGACCTCCACATCCAGCATGGTGACCTTCAGGATCGTCTGCCTCCAGCCACCTGGAAAGCTGCTGCATATCAAAGCATTTCTGCAAACCATCGCATGGAGTCATTAAGTGCTCACCTTTGATGATGGGGCTTTATGGAGGGATTTTCTTCTCCTGGATGAAGTTAGTTGTGGATTGAAAAGAGCAAATTGCATTTTGCTGATTTCAACATTGTGGATTGAGCCTCATGGTTGCCGATGGGTTATGGGCAGGTGTTTTGGACACAGGTGATTGTATTCATGGCTTTTCGAAGGCACAACAGGTCGACGAGATCCTGAGGCCCATTGTTGTGCCATCCATCACCTCCAGGTACAGCATAATGCTTCGCCTCATTAGTAAAGCTTGTTGATGCACAATGACGCCTGCTGAGCAGTTTTCTTTAAAACTGCATGTTTTATGTAAAAAATCTGCATGCACCAACCTGAAGGTATGCAGACATTTTGAATTCACAATAAGATGCAGAAGAACGAAAGCTCACCAAAAGAAACTGAAACGTTATTTTTCAGTTTCTTTTTTTTTTTTTTTTTTTTTTTTTTTTACAGTGTCCTGTGTGGCAATGTGGCAATAAGAATAATTGTCTTGATGCCAAAAAGAGCCCAACAGATTTTACTTTCACACGTGGAGCAGTATGGTTCAGTTTATCTAAAGGAACATCAAACCTGACAACATACCTGGGAAAAGAAACAGCCTGAAAACTAAATATTGCTCAGTTTAGTTTATGTAAATGCTCACGAAAAACATCTCTAATCACGATGACTAGGAATTTGCACAGAAAAACTAAATAAAAGAGCATTTCTGGACAAAATGCTGCAAATGACCAATTAAAACTAAAATTGTAATGTTTCATATGTAGGGTTTCAGTATTCAATACAAAAATATGGTTTTATTTTCACATTAGTGCCACAGCAAATGCTAAATATAAATCTTGAATCTTATCCTAAATATATTAAAATGTATTTACACATCGCTATGTAATAATATATAAATCTTAAATGCATATTCAAATCTTGCATTTATTTTTATTATGTAAAAATCTCATTTCTGAATATGCTGAATCTCAAGTCTAAATATACATGTTGAATCTTTAATCAAAATCTTAAAGACAAATTATTTTTATCTTTAATATTTAAAGCTAATTCTAATATTTAATCACTTTCTCCACAAATAATTAAATGTTTAACATCTGTGAAACTCAACCTCTAAAATGTGGCATTAAAATAATTTCAGGTAATTTATTCCATTTATTTTGTATATATGACTCTTTAATGCCGTCAGTAGAAGCATTGCTTTAATTTTTTTTTTATGTTGTGACTGTATAGGTTTAAAATGAATAACAGGATTAATCAATCATCAAAATAATTGTCAACTAATTTGGTAATTGATTATAATCACCTAGATAATTGGTACACAGACTTTAAAGACATGAAGTTTGCTGAAAGATAACATATTTACAGTATTATTAAGGTATATATAAAACAGGTTTTGAATACTAGGTTATAAATATGATCTAAAAGTTAAATAACCATATATTTTGTTTACATGATAAAATTGAGATGATTTCTGATGAGGCAATAAAAACCACAAAATGGGTCCATAAAACAATAACTATGAAAACCACACATGGGTTAAAATGTGCAATAAAGGGTTTTATATTACAGATATTGATTGAGAAATCTTAATTTACTAAAATATTTTTTTTATAAATATAGAAAATATATTTACTAATTGATTATTAACCCATAGGTGCAGTTTTATCTCATTTTTATTTACCATTATCAGACTTTGGTGACCCACCTCCTTCACTGGGACTTTTCTCCAGCATATTATATCGGTTTAAATACACCTTAGGCCGCCATTAATCTCCTGGAAACCCCACCTTAATATTCTGGTCTGAAAACAAACAAGAATAAATAAACTACCAAAAGATCCATGGAAAATTAGAATAAAAACCCTTAGAGTCGGTTCTTGACATTTTTATTCAGCATTATAACCGTTTAACCTTCAAACAAGAACAAATAAACCGTTAAAAAGCCCAATCTGATCTGTAAACCTCTGACTGCATCCTCAATAATTTCATAGCAAAATAATTTATACTTTATGTAATGCTAAATATAGTGGCTAAAATCCTATATTTTAGGCTACTGGCTGCTATTCCTGAAGGCGTTCAGGCTCGAACTTTGACTTCTAATAAATTCCTTTATTAACATAATTTCTATAGTTTGAATAATTGTCTTTAAATAAATGCATAAATTCAACATTAATCCAAACCAAACACAGTAGAAAATTGTTCCCTCCTCTCATTAACAGCTGAAGAATCATGTTTGACTTTAAATAATACCAACCCCCTTCAAACAATCAGAACTCAAAATAAAATACGCCCCCTGGTGACAATAACAATATTCACACTTCCTCCATGAAGTTTCTTCTAAAATAAACACACAAAAAGTTGGTAATGCAGTATAAAACCTCTGTAAACAAATCTAGAGAAATATTAGAATCCTCTAAATTACTGCAGCTGTGCCAGGACACCCGGCAGGTCCAGAACAGTAGGGATGGTGTAGTCTGGTTTGACTGGACCGTCTAAGCTGGTCCTCTCTGCTCTGTGAATCCACACGGTGGCCCGAACCCCAGCGTTAAAGCCCCCCTGGATGTCTGTGTCCAGATTGTCCCCCACCATGACGCACTCCTGCGCCTCCACCTCCAGCTGGTCGAAACACAGCTGGAAGATGGACGGGAAGGGTTTCTGCTCGGCGTGATCTCCGGCGATCACTACAGCATCAAAGAACTCCTCGCACTTGACCGCCTCCACCTTTTCCCTCTGAGTCTGAGCGTCCCCGTTGGTGAGCAGCAGCAGCTTGTATCGGCTGCGGAGTTGCTTCAGAAGGTTGCGCACCTCAGGGGTGAGGCACAGGACCTCCAGCCGACTGTTCTTCCACATATAGTAGCACTGAGAAGCCAGGTCGGATATAGAGCACCTTCCTATAGTCTCTGCAATGCTTTCCTCCCAGTGGCAGACGCGGACGTCATCTTGGGAGGTTCCGGGTAACCGA